CCCGGGCCGGGAGGAGTGAGACCCCGAGGCTTGGGACTGGGCTGTCCAGGGACACCATTTGAGAGCCTTAGAGCCACATCCCCCTGAACTCCTGGGGAAGGGTCCTCACACCTGTTAGAGTAGAACCACCCCCCTAACTCTCAAAGACCACACAGAGGGTAAAGCTTGGTGAGAAGATGCCTGCCTGGCTCAAGGCCATGGTGCCAATGGCCGACTGCAGCCAGCCTATGATGCCCCATCTCGGGGTACGCTGTTCCGGGCAGGGGGCTTCCCTGAAGCAGCTGCAGGATGGGGCTGACACACACTGTGGGACCCAGGAGCACACACAGGTTCCCGGGGTGCTGGGCCCTGGAGGTAGATAAAGGCTTGTGGGGGGCGTCTGCCCACAGGAGATTCCTCCCCCATGCCCTGGACATTGCCCACTGCCAGGTACCGTGGAGCCTGCTGTGCTGGACTGCCTGGCTCTGAGGCTTAGAATACCGTGAAGCCCTGTGTGAGTGAAGCGGAGAGGCCAGAACTGCCTTGGCAGGACATGGGGACGTAACCCAAGAGCTCCCGGGGTGGAGCGGTCCAGGCTGGGCCTGTGGTCCAGGGCCCTGAAGCCCCTTGGCTCACTCTGCCTCCAGGCGGGCTGCTGCACCTGCTATGTACAAAGACAAGGAGATGTGTTGAGGAGGGGAGCCGGCCCCAGGACCAGGGAGTCACAGAGGTGATGAACAGGACATGATGGTCCTATAAGGAGAGGGAGGGGCAGTCGGCATGGGTATCCCCACGGCGTCCTATCAGCCAGGCTCAGGAGGGAGACAGGGCACTGACATCGCCTCCCCCAGGAGCCTGGCTCCTCACCAGCCTCAGACCTGGGCCATCCGGTGCAGGGAGGGGCCTTCAGCACCACAGTCAGCAGACATCAGGTAGTTGTGGCTTCCCCACTGGAGATTACAGACACAGCATCTGGGGGACCGTATGCTGCGCAGAAGCAGCTGGTCCCTGAGGCCACACTTGGTGCAGCTCTGCTGATCTGACATTCCCGGGAAGACAGCTGGAGTGACAGACACCTCTGTAGCTGCTGGGAGGTGGGAGGGGGTGTCTATAAAGGGAGAGCACAGGGAGGTGTCTGGGGGTGAAGCTGTTCTGCATCTTGACTATGGCGGTATTAACACAAATTTATGCATGCCTTGAAATTCATAGAACTGTGCCAAAGGAGAAGTCAATGCTACCGTACGATCGCCTAAATTCTTAATGTAGGCTGGGTGCGGTGGCTCACGCTTGTAATCCCAGCACTTTGGGAGGCTGAGGCGGGAGATCACCTGAGGTCAGGAGTTTGAGACCAGCCAGGCCAACATGGTGAAATCCCATCTTTACTAAAAATACGAAAATCAGCCAGGCATGGTGATGGGTACCTGTAGTCCCAGCTATTTGGGAGGCTGAGGCAGGAGAATCACTTGAATCCAGAGGCGGAGATTGCAGTGAGCCGAGATCACACCGCTGCACTCTAGCCTGGAGACAGAGCGAGACTCTGTCTCAAAAACAAAACAAAACAAAAAAATCCTTAAGGTAAGAATTGCACAGGGTGGCTTCTGTTTAAACCCCGGGTGCCTTGCTGTCTCCCTCCAGGCCGTTCGACGCCATCTGTTCTTCTTGCAGGAGCACCGTGCCCACTTCTCAGCCTCGAAGAGGCCTCTCTGTGAAACGTTTCTTGCAACACGCAGCCTGGGCTTCTTGGCAGCTTCAGTCATCCCAAGAGAGTCACGTGACCAATAGTGTCTGAGACTGTGGCTCTCAAGAGATGTTTATCGGTTCGTGAACTTGTGATTTCTCTCAGCAAATACTGACTGAGAGCTCACTAGTTGCCAAGGATCATCGGAGGAGCCGTGGATGCACCAGGCACGTTAAACAGGACACGCAGAGAAGCCGACGCCCCTGGGCTGCATACGTGGTCGTGGATCTCACACTGATCACAGGGGTGTGTGGGAAGCCACGGAAGTTGGAGCACAGCTTGCTCATGTGTTGTCGGGCAGCTAGGGCGGTGCTGGGAGCTGCATGCAGTGTGGATGCAGGTTGTGGGGACTCTCAGGGTGGTGCCAGCGTGCCGGTGCACTCAGGTGAAAGCCACAGCCGCTCTGGCTGAGCGGTGTAGCCAGCCTCTCACTTTAGTGTGAAGCAACTGAAACCCACGTGTGCCACACGGGAGCATCCCTTTGTGATCTGCAGCCCCCTAGCCTCTCACCATATCCCCAGCGCGAAGTGAATGACACAGGAAAGCACCCCATTCAGCTCACGGTGGCACAGCCACAGACTGGAGAGGAGGTCGGAGAGGAAGCCAGTGAGGCAGGAAGGAAAGACGGAGTTTGAATGGCTAGAGACAGCTCTAAGCGTCAGCCATTAAAGTGGGTCCGTGGAAACGCAGGAGCTAAATCCCGGCACGCTGGACTCCGGTGCTTGCTACGTCATAGACAAACACCAGGAACAGGGAAGGGCTTCCCAGACCTCCAAGCACCATGGTGTCCAACAGGTGGCCGGGACCCCATGTCCTCTGCCCAGGTTCTCACCTGGGCCTTGTGGGACTTTCCTGCTGGGGCCTGATCTTCGGACAGCTGGGGGTGTATCTTCAGACGGCTGGGGGTGTGTGCCCACCCAGGCTTTGGCAATGCCAGGTGAGATAGGCAGCTCCCGCCCCACCTGCTGGCATCCTTCTAGGCAGGTGCTTAGAGTTCCCCAGGGCCAGGAGCAAGCCAGATGACGCCTTTACTTTTGTTGGCAAAATCAGAACTTTTTAAACTTCTGCCCGTGTGTCTTTTGCCCTACAGTATGATAGTCTTGCCAACCAGCGGATGAGTGAGTCCTCCTGTCACCAAGCAACAGGTGCACTGTCCCATGAGTGGAGCAGGGAGTGGACGTCCAGAACTGAGGGGTTCTCTGGACACCCTCTGGTGCGTCTAGGCCTGTGAATTGGCACAGCAGCCCCACAGACCTGCAAGGCGCACACCTGGGGGCTCAGAACCCCGGGGGTGAAGGTCGGTGCTATCCCTCTGGAGAAGCGACCAGCAGAGGCCCTGGCCAGCGGTGAGGGGGAGGAGAGGAACGCCAGCCACACCTAGCACCGACCGCCACAGCTGGAGCCTTGCCCAACCCAGGAATGTTTCTCCTCTAAGACTTCCTTCTGTTTTTTAGAAATTATTTCTTGCTTAGAAATTATTGTTTTTAGAAATTATCACAGGCATTTGTCACCTTGAAGACCCAGTGACAGAAAAGTGTGAGCCCTGTCTTTGTAAGATGGGGTTTGCCCTGCACCCCACATGTGGCCTGTGGGCACCCTGGCTGGCTCAGCCTCGGCTCGCCTGGGCCCTGCTGGCTTGGTCTATTTCGGGGCCACCCTGCAGCCTCTGCCTGAACCAGGTCTGGGCAGGAGGTGGGGAGGTGAGAATGCTGGTCCCAGAGGGAGCGGGCAGTGGTGACCTGGTACACAGCCAGTGGCCCTGGAGAGAGGCTGTCACTTTGCAGGCTCATCCCCCAGGAGGCCCGTTCCACTTGGGTTTGTGCCTCCTGGGGCGTGTTTATCACCCTGGTGCAGTGGCCTCTCCTCCCTCACTGTGACCAGCCTCTCTGAATCCCCACAGCCCCAGTGTCTGTGCAGACCCTCGCTCTGGACAAAACACAAGAAGGCCATGGTGGGTTGAAGATCTTGGAGGCCTGGGCCAGCTCTGCCTTGCTGTGGGGGTGATGACGGAGGTGCCAGTACCCCTCTCCCCAGCGCTGCCACTGAGCCCAGGCTGCTAAAGGGGGTGGCTCGGAGGATCCCACCGAGACCATCCTAGGACGGGAGCCATGTGGTGGCCCCACGGCTACAGCCCTGATGCTGTGTCCCCACTCCTGCCCTCCCCACGTCTTCCCAAACACTCCTGCCCAGGGCTCTGCCAGTCCCAAGATGAACCTGAGACCCCAGGGCGGCTCTGCAGGAGGCCCCTCCAGGACACCGCGCGGCCCCACAGGCCTGCTGGACGTCATGCCTCTTGTGGTTGCCAACATCTCCCCAGCTTCCCTGGTGGCTCCCCCTCCCAGCAGGCCTCCCAGGGAGCCAGCACAAGCTCCTCCATCCCCACAGATAGGCCACCCAGAGCTGGGGCAAAAGCTCTTTATTTGGAGTCAGGCGGGTGGGGCCAGGAAAGGCTCATGGCTGGAGGGTAGGTCCAGGCGGGCCGGGCTCCGTGTCTGGCGGCAGGGTGGGCTCTGGAAGTGTAGACCCGGGTGCCGCTGTGCTGGGAAGAGGAGCAGAGGTCAGGGAGGCCGCAGGGTAGAGGCCAGGGAGGCTGCAGGGTAGAGGCCAGGGAGGCTGCAGGGTAGAGGCCAGGGAAGCTGCAGGGTAGAGGTCAGGGAGGCTGCAGGGTAGAGGTCAGGGAGGCTGCAGGGTAGAGGTCAGGGAGGGTGCAGGGTAGAGGCCAGGGAAGCTGCAGGGTAGAGGTCAGGGAGGCTGCAGGGTAGAGGCTAGGGGGGCTGCAGGGTAGAGGTCAGGGAGGCTGCAGGGTAGAGGCTAGGGAAGCTGCAGGGTAGAGGTCAGGGAGGCTGCAGGGTGGGGCAGAGGCCAGGCCCAGAGCTCTCTCCCCAGGCTCCACAGCCCCCATGTCGGCCACTGCTGGGCAGCCTCGGGGCTTCAGAGCGACCTCAGCTCCTCCAACACCTGAGCAGGCCTCTGAGCATCCTCAGTGGGTGGGGGACGGGGAGTGGACCAAGTGGGGACAGGTGCAGGGGGCAATGGGCTGAGCTGACACCTGAGGAGCCCGAGGGTGGCCTCGCTGTGGATGGGCTGAGGAGGACCCTCGCTCGGGCTGGCAGGCTCAGGAGCAGGTGAAAGGAAGGACTTCCCGAAAGTCCCGGGAATTGCGGGCGAGCACACTCCAAGGTGCCGACCTCCTGCCTGGGCCGGGGGGGTCCCCCTGCCTGTGTGGGATGGCAGGGGCCAGAGCAGACGGACCCTCAAACCCCGGGAGCAAGGCCCACTCACCCTAGTGTTCGGGAACGCAGCTTCCTGCAGAGACCCAGAAAAACCCAGTGATGAGAAGACGCCCTGGCCCAGGGCCCAGACCCCGTCACAGCCCAGAGCTCAGACCCTGTCATGACAAGGACCCTAAGCAGGAGCCTCTGTGAGGAGACTCAGGGCACACGGCGACACGGGGGTCATGGGACACTGGAGGTCACAGAGAGGCACATGGGGGCACACGGGGGACGGGGCACAGCAGTCCTCTCACCCATCGGCAGGGGCATGAAAATATTCCCCTCCGAGAGTCCCTTGCGCTGCACGAATTTCTTAAATTCTTCCAGGGCCTCCAGGTTGGTGTCGGGATTCCGACCTGCAGGTGAGGTGGCCAGGTCAGCCGAGGTGGGGACGGCGGCCCGGCCCTGCAGGTAGCAGATGCGGAAAGGAGACGGCCACGGCCCAGCACTGGGACGCGGGGAGGGGAGGCCCGAGAGGGGACCAGAGTTTGAGGGTGGGGCTGGGGACAGAGGAGACGGCCGTGGCCCAGCTGAAAGGTCCCCAGGAAGGGGGACAGTGGCGGGGACTATCCAAGCCACTGAGCAACCCCAGGGGACCTGGGCAGCTCCCAAAACCACCCTGTAGGGTCACAGCCCTCACTGGGAGGAACCTTGTGTCCTGGAGGGACTGGCTGCCCTCCTGCCCTGGAGGGTCCCTGCCCCACAAAGGGCTCTGTCAGGACACTACCTCCCCTGTAAGATGACACCCCTATACCTGAGACCCCAGAAGTGGCTCTTGGCAGGTTCATGTCACCAAGGGCCGTGTCTGTCCCTGCCTGGCCCACCCCATTCCCACTTCAGGTACTTGGACCAGCCGCCGAGGGCAGCGCTCAGGGCCTGGCACATGAAGGCCAGTGCAGGGGGCTTCCCCTTTCCCCCATGCCAGGGCGTGGTGATGCCGGTTCCACCGGCTTCTGGAGGCAGAGACTGTGGGGCAGGACACGCAGGCCCCAGCGGGCCCTCACCCATGAGCTCTCCCATGCGGAACAGACCCCCATGGCGCTGGTCTTTGCAGTAAAAGACGTAGTGGTCCGTCCCGGGCAGCTCCTGCAGGTATACAAGCTTCCTGCCCCCATCTGTAGATGACAGAGAAGGTGGGCTTCAGTGCCCTCATTCCCAGAGAAAGCATTTGCGACCACATGAAGGAACACTTGGGAATGTTTCAGTGGTCACCCAGGTGCCCCGGACAGCCTGAGCTGGGCCTGGCTGCTCTCCACAGCGTGTTCCCTGACACCGAGGCAGGAGCTTCCTCCGGGGAGGGTCCCAACCCAAGCAATAGAGCCACAGAGGCCAGAGCACGTCCAGGACTAGAGTTCCACCTTCCCAGCTCCAGCAGCTGCCCCTGCCCTACTCTTCTGTCCCTAACCCTAATCCTCACCCTCCATGTCCCTAACCCTTGGCTTCCTTGATCCCTAACCCTTGGCTTCCTCAGTGTGTCAATGGCTAGGGCCTCCCAGAGGGAAGGTGTGATCTGGTCCATCTCTGCTGTGGACAAGCTGGTCACACCTGGTGTCTGAAGTCAGGGCCACCAGACCCCCAGGAAGGAGAGGCCAGCCAGTCCTCATAGGTGGGCAGAGCTGGGACCCTGGTAGAAGGGCGGCCCGGGTGCTCTCCGCCTTCAGGGGGCTGGGGGAGGCTCACAGGTGCTGAATTTGCCAGGCTCCTCCATTTTCTGCATGAAGATTTTCTTCTGGAAGCACCGATCATTCCTCCTGGAAAACAGGAGACACACGGGCCGTGGCTCCCAGGACACACCTGGGCCGTCCTCAGCTCACCTGGTGCATGGTCCTGACCCAGCGACCTGAAAATTCCACTGCCCCCTGCCACGCCCCCCACCAAGCTTTAGGATGCCCAGCTGTTTCCCTCCAAGGCAGGGGGTGATTCTTACCAATGCCCGAATATGTGGATGGGGGATGGGCACCAGTGGGTCTGGGGAGGGGAGAGAAAGCGGCCTGAGCAGCCCTGCAGTGGGTGACACTCACATGAAGGTAAATGTGGCTTCCAAGTCCCCACGGTCCAGGGCTGTCACCATCACTGGGGACACTTTCCTGGGCCTCTTCTCCTCCGGAAGGTCCTTATCAGTCACCACGGCCTTCACATACCAGGTCCCTGTGATCTGGAGCAGGTCGAGGCTGTGAGCTCACCATGGGCTGGCCCAGAGTCTACCCTGACCGCGGCACTCAGGCCTGCAGCTATAATCAGACAGCCATGCTGCCCGGCTGCCGCCCTCCCCATCCCTACCCCTGGCTCAGGGCTCCCACCTTCCGGTGGAGGGAGAGTGTGTCTGCCCCCCATGAACCCCGGGCCCCAGCACCGGGTGAGCCCTCTCTCCCAAGGGCCCAACCCTGCGAGACCTTCAGGGATCAGGTGTCAGTGCAGCAGGACCCCCTGAGCTGAGCCTGCTCTGGCTCTGGGTCCCAGAAGGGGCCATGTCTGCTGGAGGAACAATAGGACCCCTCCCCTCAACCCTAGGCTGGGAGCACGGGGTCAGAACCCAGCCTTGAGTGATACCTCCTAAAGCAGGGCCTCTAGCGCTGCCCCCCACCCAGGAGTCAGCCTGGCTTCTCCACCCGCCCACACCAGCCCAGCTCACATCCTCCTCCTTCAGGGCAAAGGACAGGGCAGCGGCCAGGCCAAGTGTGACACCCAGGAGCAGGGTCTTCATCTCCAGAGCTCTATGCTCTCGACCTCAGCGGGCCACCGGGAGTCTGAACAAGTCTGCGCCGGCTTCTCTCAAGGTGTTCTTTATAGCCTCCTAGCCAGTGTCCTGGGAGCACGTGGCACGGGTCGCCCTTCCCCGCGGTGGCAGCCAGTCCTGCATCCAGGAGGGGGAGTGTCATCATTGCTGGCATCTGGTGAGCAGCAGTTCAGTGCCAGCCAGAGAAGAAAAGACACATGATGTGCCCAGGGTTTGCACCACCAGAACGCGCCCACTCAGACCAGCCCGGAGGACTCCCCAGGACGGTGCAGGATGGGGTGTATCTGCACCCCGAGCCACAGAGGGAGAACCCACGGCCTTGGGACGTCCCTCCCCAGCCCCTGAGCCCTCCCAGTGCTGCGGCTAGGACCCTGGGCAAGTTCTCTGGGGAACTGGGCATCTCCCCTGCTGAGGAGAAAGGGACTGGGCTTTAGGACCACAGAGACGTGGGGCTGCTGCCCCCTGACTCCCACACGCCCTAGAGCCCAAGCTTCCGCCCGCTCCGGGACCCACGCTGCACTGATCTTCCCTGCCCCGGACCCTGCACTAGAGCCTCCTAGGGGCAGAGGAGGATACCGCTGTGTGGCTCAGGGTCAGTTTATGCACGGCCTCCTCGGGCCATACGAGGGACCACGCCGCCTCCCCGACCCCGCTTCACTCTGTACCCGAGCTGGCTGTGCTGTCCTCAGAGCACGCGGTCTCTCTGGACGGTTCTGTCCACTTCTTCCTGCACGTGGTCATCGGCCATCTCCCCGTTAGAATTTACGTTCCCCTCTCCCATCAGCTTTGACGGCCCCAGCCCGCGGGACAGGCCTTGAATCTCATCCCTTTAGATAAATGGGTGGCATGAGGCACCAAGAGCCACCTGCCAGCCTGTGCTCAGCGTTCATGAGTGCTGAGATCGTGTGGGCACCTGGCTCCGCTGGCCTCATCCCCAGACAACCTGAACAAGGACTGTGCCTTTTTTTCCTGGACCCTGTAGGTCCCGGGCCTGCGTCATCTGCCCTGGGACCCAGGGCTGAGCCACGCTCTGCAGTCAAGTGCTGGGCTGGCATGCCGGCATCTGTATGCCTCGGTGGTCCAAGATCAGACGCCCTTGAGTACTTGCTAAATAATACTAACACACACTCTAATAACCCCAGGTGGCTGTAGCGAGGGGCTGGTGTGACCAAGTCCCTCACCCCTCCCACGGCAAGTGCTACCAAGCGGAAACCCCCCCATGGCCCTGGGCAGAAAAGGGTGGGGCCTGGGCTCTTCAGGACCAGAGAAGAGCAGACAGGCTGGAGTCTCTACATCAGCAGGAAGATGTCTCTGATTTCCTGTTTTCTTTGATGGTACCCCAGGCACCTCGTATTTCACTGTTTGTTTGTGAATCATCTAAGCACCTTGCGACACTGGCGCTGCTGGCCCAATCCTTGAAGAAAATGCTGGAACAACATGCACAGATGCTTCAGAGAATGGGGCTCCCCCATGAGTTCCATGCTCAGTGCGACGGCTGCTCCCCAGGAGCCTCCCGTCGTCCACCCATCTCGCCCTGTGTCCCAGTCTCGTCCGCCAACTGTGTTCTTTTAGAGACTGGTTGGGTTCCAGTGGTGCAGACGCCGTCAGGAGATGGTAGGGCTGGAGGCTGGGGGTCAGCCCATGGCAGACGGGAGGGGCGCGATCCCTGGTCCCCAGTGCTTTGTGGCCTGGCATGTTTCTCTGGGTGGCTGTGTTCCTTCTGATGGTGATGCCTGTTGGGCTGTTAAATGTATTTAACAAAATTTAACACCCATTCAGGATAACAACGCTCAAAAATAGGAACAGAAGAGAACTTTAATTTGACAAAGAACATCTACAAAAAAACCTGTGGCTAACTGGCTAACATTCTTTCTTTCTTTCTTGAGATGGAATCTCGCTCTGTCACCCAGGCTGGAGTGCAGTGGTACAATCTCGGCTCACTGCAACCTCTGCTTCTTGTGTTCAAGCAATTCTCCTGCCTCAGCCTCCTGAGTAGCTGGGATTATAGGCATGCACCACCATGCCACACTAATTTTTGTATTTTTCTTATTTATTTATTTTTTGAGATGGAGCCTCACTCTGTTGCCCAGGCTGGAGTGCAGTGGCACGATCTCACCTCACCCCAAACTCCGCCTCCCAGGTTTAAGCAATTCTCCTGCCTCAGCCTCCCGAGTAGCTGAGACTACAGGCACCATGCCCAGCTAATTTTTGTTTTTTGTTTTTTTTTTAGTAGAGATGGAGTTTCACTATGTTGGCCAGGCTGGTCTCGAACTCCTGACCTCATGATCTGCCTACCTTGGCCTCCCAAAGTTCTGGGATTACAGGCGTGAGCCACCGTGCCTGGCCACATTATTCCTAACGGTGAAAGACTGATGTGTAACTGGCTCAAGTCCAGCTGCTCGCCGCTCAGAAGTCAAAGCATGAGCAGTGAGGTGTGGTGGAAGGAAAGCAGCTTTATTCAAATGCTAGCAGTTGAGGAAAGGCCAGGCCCATGCCTTTAAAAGAGCATTCCAACTTTTTGGGCTGAGTGAAGGGTTCAAGGAGGAAGAAGTTTGGGGAGTAGGTGGGAGCGGGGCAGGGGGGTGTTGATCTGCATCCTGTTCTGATGATTCTCCTGAGTCATCACTTGCCTGTCCTGAGGTCTGCTTTGCGTCATCCTGACTTCAGCCCGGCAGTGGGGGGCTGCCTGTAACTCCCCCTAAGTGGGAGGATTCTGCAGCTGGGTCTCTCTGCCTGGTTTGTTTCAAAACTGGCCCCTGGAATTTCTAAGTAAGCACGTAATTAGATAAGCGAGCACTGCTTACAGAAGTGCCTGGTGGGAAAGACAGAAACAAAGTATGTGTCAAGGCTGAAAGCAAGAAAGGAAAAAAAGCTTTAAAGGACATTTTGAGGCTGGGATACTCAGTTACAGACGCTTTCTCCTTCATACCAGGGACAAGGTAAGGATGTCCACTCTCACCACTTGTGTTTGCCATAGTACAGAAAGTTCTAGTCAGAGCAGCAACGGTTTCTTAAAAAGGAAATAAAAGACATTCACATTGGAAAGGAAGGAAGAAAACTGTCTGCATCTGCAGATGACATGATTTTCTCTTTGGAAAATCACAAGGAATTGAAAAACAAAACAAAACAATATACCTCCTAGAACAAATAAATACACAAAAGTTGCAGGACACAAGACAAATACACAAAGATCAATTGTGTGTCTGCATACAACTAATGGATCCTAACCCTAAAAACACAATATTATCTATAATGGCTAAAAAAATGAGATACCTAGGCATGTCTAACAACCCATACGCTGGATCTGTATGCTGAAAACAATGCAACGATTATAAAATAAATCAAAGAAGACTGAAACAAGCTCTATCCATGGATTAGGAGACTCAACAGAGTAAAAATGTCATTTCTCCCAAGTAATATGAAGATTTAACACAATTTCTATCAAAATTCCAGAATGAATTTTGGTAGATATAGACAAGAGTATTCTAAAATTTATATGGAAAGAGAAAGGAACTAGAATAATTAAAACATTTTTGTTTAAGAATAAAATGGGAAGAATCAGGCTACCCTTTCTTTTTCTTCTTTCTTCTTCTTTTCTTTTTTTTTTTTTTGGAGACAGAGTCTGAGGCTGGAGTGCAGCAGCACGATCTTGATCCAACCTCCACCTCCTGGCTTCAAGCGATTCTCTTGCCTCCATGTCCCAAATAGCTGGGATTACAGGTACGCGCCATCACGCCCAGCTATAGGCTACCCTTTCAACACTCGTTATGTAGATAGCAGATGAACAGATGCATAGATCAATGGGACAGACAATAAAAAAATCCTCAAACAGACCTGCACCAATACAACCAATTACATTTTTGCAAAGATGCAAAAGCAATTCAATGGAGGAAAGACAGATTTTGTAGCAAATGGGCTGGAGCAGCTGGACATCCACAGACAAAACCACCAAACAAAAAGAAGACCCACAAGCGAGGTCTCGCACCCTTTATGAAAATTAACTCAAAATGGATTGTAGACTTAAAACTATAAAACTTTTAGAAAACATAAAGAAAATCTTTGGGATTTGGAGCTGGGTCAGGAGGTTTAGATTTGTCACCAAAAATATGATCCTTAAAAGGAAAAATTGTGGCCGGGCGCGGTGGCTCACGCTTGTAATCCCAGCACTTTGGGAGGCCGGGGCGGGTGGATCACGAGGTCAAGAGATCGAGACCATCCTGGTCAACATGGTGAAACCCCGTCTCTACTAAAAATACAAAAAAATTAGCTGGGCATGGTGGCGCATGCCTGTAATCCCAGCTACTCAGGAGGCTGAGGCAGGAGAATTGCCTGAACCCAGGAGGCGGAGGTTGTGGTGAGCCGAGATCTCGCCATTGCACTCCAGCCTGGGTAACAAGAGCGAAACTCCGTCTCAAAAAAAAAAAAAAAAAAAATTGTTAAAATAGACTTCATCAAAATAAAAAACTTTTGCTCTGTTAAGAGACCCTGTGAAGAGAATAAAAAGACAAGCTAAATACTGAAAGAAAACATTGACAAAGTACATATTCAACAAAGAATTCATTTCTATACTTTATAAAGAATTTTTCAAAACTTAAGTTTCAAAAATAGAATGTAAACAAAAGATCCGAAGGTGCACTTGACTAGAGAGAATATACAGATGGCAAAGAAACACACGGAAAGGTGTTCAATGTCATTAGTTGTCAGCGAAACGCAAATAAAAGCCGTGATGTATCAGTACACACCTATCAAGGTGGCTGAGATAAGATCACAGTGATCGCACTGAAGCCTGGTGAGGATGCATGGAAATGGGACGGCTTCTGGAAAATGGCTCGACAGGTTTAAAAAAAAAAAACAACTAAACCTGCAACAAGCATAGAACCCTGCAATAGCACCCCCGGGTCTTTGTCCCAGAGAAATGAAAAGTGATGTCCGTGCAAAAACCTGTGCATGTGTCATAACCCAGACCT